CAGTCTATAGTGACTGAAACAGATCAGTGGTTACTGAGGGACAGGAGTGGCAGGGAGGGACAAGAGGGGGATGACCAAGAGACAGGAGGAACAGTTTGGGAATAATGGCCATGTTCATGATCTTTTTTTTTTTTTTTTGAGTTGTATTTTTCCTTTTTAATTTTAGTTCCCACATATAAGGAGAACATACTGCATTTGTCTTTCTGTGTCTGCCTTTATTTCACTCAATTAAAACCATTTTGCTAAAAACGATAGAATTTCATTCTCTCTGTGTATGAGAGAGAGAGAGAGAGAGAGACTCTCCCTGTCTGTAACTCTGCCTTTCAAATAAATAAAATGAATATTTAAAAAAGAGTTCCCCTTTCTCCACATTCTCACCAGCACTTGTTGCTCCCCGTCCTTTGGATAATAGCCATTCTGATAAGGATGAGGTGATCTCTCATAGTCGTTCCGATTTTCATTTCCCTGATAGCCAGTCATGTTGAACATTTTTTCATATACTAGTCGGCCTTTTGTATTTCTTCTTCTAAAAACTGTCTACTCAGGTCCTTCTCCCATTGCTGAAGTGGATTAGTTGTTTTGATGTTGCTGAGTTTTCTGAGTTGTGATATATTCTGGATAGTCATCCTTTGTCAGATAAGTAGCTTGAAAATATTTTCTCCCATTCTGCCAGATGTCTCTTCATTCTATTGGTTGTTGCCTTTGATGTGAGGTTTCTGAGTCTGATACAATCCCATTTGTCCAGTTTTGCTTTTGTTGCCTGTGCTTTAGGGGGTCTTATCCGAGAAGTCATCATCTACACCAGTGTCTTAAAGTGGTTCCTTTACCTTATCTCCTACGCAATTTTATAATTTCAGGTCTTAACCTTAGATCTGTGATCCATCTTGAGTTGATTTTTGTATATGCTGAGAGGTAGGGATCTGGTTTCATTATTCTGCATAGACATACCCTGTTTTGCCAGCACTATTTATTGAGAAGACTTCCCTTTTCCCAATATATGCTCTGGGCACTTTTGTTAAAAAGCATTTGGCTGCATGCACATGGATTAATTTCTGGGCTCTCTTTCTAGTCCATTGATCCATGTGATAGCTTTTATGCCAGTCATGATCTTCATCAAGGTGGTGGTTTCACAGTGTGCACCATCTGTCAAAAGTTATCAAATGTCATACATGCAGTGTGTTGTTGGTCAATTGCATCTCATTTGTGTGCATTTTATTGTAAGTCACTTATATCTTGACTTTAAAAATTACTTATTAAGCTTCCAATGCTCTTTTAGAAAAAGTCTTAGACCAAATCTCTTATATCCCTTCATTTCTGTCAAATAGTCACTCAAACTGTCTGTACCTGTAGCAAAGTCCCGGGTCTCCATCCATCAGGTGCTCCCACAACACCTGTCCAGAGAATTCGCTGGAAGCAATATTCTACCCAGCAGGATCAGCTGGCCTGGCGGCTGGGGTCAGGTGAAGAGCAATCTTCTGAATTATCTCTGGAGAGTCTTTTTTTCCAGCCTGGGGCAGCACTTTTATAGGTCAAGTTTTACTGGGCTGACCAGACTCAAACACCTGTTCCTGCAGTTAAAACCATTTTGCTAGATGCCTGACTAGTCTGTCTAGCCAATCCACAAACCTCGATTAGCAATGACTTCACTTTGAGCCAAAGAGCCTCACTTGTGCACACATATTGTGTTAATTTCTCAAAGTCGCAGGCACTGGTGAAGACAAAGATGGCTGAAGCCCTTAGATGCTGCCGCTGCCTTTAAAATGTCAGCTAATCACCTGGGGTGGGGGGCGGGGGGAGGAGCTGGGCCCAATCTGAGCAGCCAGCTCTTGCTAGGGTCAAGATGAAAACAAGCACATTCTTCTATATCACAATGCCCGTGGCAGGAAGCAACTGATGGAGGCGGGTGTCAAGGGGCAGTGAGAAGAATTCACCAGAGCAGTGGAACAGAGAGAAGGAGCAGAGGGCGGTTTATTAAAATACACAGCAAATGGCCAGCGCTGCGGCTCATTTGGCTAATCTTTCGCCTGTGACGCCAGCACCCCAGGTTGGGGTGCCGGATTCTGTCCCGGTTGCTCTTCTTCTAGTTCAGCTCTCTGCTGTGGCCCAGGAGGGCAGTGGGGGATGGTCCAAGTGCTTGGGCCCTGCACCCGCATGGGAGACCAGGAGGAAGCACCTGGCTCCTGGCTTCGGCTAGGCACAGTGCCGGCCATGGTGGCCATTTGGGGGGTGAACCAACGGAAGGAAGACCTTTCTCTCTGTCTCTCTCTGTCTAACTCTGCCTGTCCAAAGGAAAAAAAAAATACACAGCAAGGAGGCAGTGGGCAGGTGCGCAGATATTAGCTGAGAACGGGGCTTAGAACGGGGAGGTACATGTCGGAGGGAGAGTGCTGCTGGCCACGGGCTTTTCATCACTAGTGATTTCCTTATTGCTGGGCAGTTTCACTAGGGCTTCCTCGTTGCCAGGGGCCTGGGTGACCTCTGCATTGCTCACGCTGCTGTGTCTTGAAGTAAACCACAGTCAGCACAACCTACCCACTGAAAGGGACTCCCCTCTTCTCCATCCCCTCTGAAGATGCCTGGGAAAATCCAAGGAAAGCATCCCCACACTCAGTCTTTCCTCCAACATAAAGATTTTTAAGAAAATGAAAAGTACTTAGAACAAAAAGAAATCAGATTCTACAAAAATCCACTTAAAACAAAGGTAATCAGGGAAATTGGAACACTTGTGGACGGCTGACAGGAGCATAATATAGGGCCAGTACCATGAGAAACAGTGAGACAGTAAGATCACCTTATGGTCCAGCAACTCCACTTCTGGGCATACACACAAAAGAACCGAAAACAAGGGTTCAAAGAAATGAGTGGCACCTGCCCTGCTCTCTGCCTGGTATGGACCAACTTAGCTTCTAGACTGCCTTCTCCCCTAATTAAAGGCCTCACTTCCCTGTGCATCTCTCTCGCCGAATAAAATGCTTAAAAACTTAAGAAAAGGCCGGCACTGCGGCTCAATAGGCTAATCCTCCACCTAGCGGTGCCGGCACACTGGGTTCTAGTCCCGGTCGGGGCACCGGATTCTGTCCCGGTTGCCCCTCTTCCAGGCCAGCTCTCTGCTATGGCCAGGGAGTGCAGTGGAGGATGGCCCAAGTGCTTGGGCTCTGCACCCCATGGGAGACCAGGAGAAGCACCTGGCTCCTGCTTTCAGATCAGCGCAGTGTGCTGGCCGCAGCACACCAGCCATGGTGGCCATTGGAGGGTGAACCAACGGCAAAAGGAAGACCTTTCTCTCTCTCTCTCTCTCTCTCTCTCACTATCCACTCTGCCTGTCCAAAAAAAAAAAAAAAACTTAAGACAATAAAAAGAAATATGAGTTTGTTATAGGAACTGTTATTATTGTTGTTATTCCAGGCTCTTTCCCGTGCGTGAGATAAGAATTCAAAACAGAGGCATCCGTAGAGCACAAAGATGACAGCAGGATTTATTTAAGTGAGAGAATGAGGATACATTCAGGAGTGAGTGTGGGCCAACCCATGAGAAGAACTCCTCATAAGAGGCGGAGAGAGAAAGGAAGCACTTTTCCTAAGGAGACAGAAGGAGAGAGGGCTGGAAAAGGACTACCCCCAGGCCCAGGGACCATTTATGGGTAGGAGGGATGCCCTAATTGAATCTACAAAGTCGGTTTGGCGTATGTGAGGTCTTCTTGCAGATGTCATGGCAGCCCTCCATGGAACTGTGTGTACACATGTTCATCACGGAGTCCCCTCTGCCCCCCATCCCCCCCCCCCCCGCTGGAGGAGACTCAGTTGCATCATGGGAAAACCCATGTGAACAACTGGCATGTAAGGGGGTGGAGTTAAGGTGCAGGGTTAGAAACAGAAATGGTGGGGAGGGGGCCTTCCAGCTCATTTCTCCCTAACTACCTGCCTGTTTGGGGCCCCAGATCACATTGACAATCAGTGGCATTATTCACAGTTGCCAAAAAATGGAAGCCACCCAAGTACCTATGGAGATGAATGGATAAAGAAAACCGGGTGCGGACAAACAATGAACTACTATTCGGCTACACAAAGGAACTCCTGACACAGTCTACAGCGTGGATGAACCTGGAGGACATTGGGCTACGTGAAATTCCCCAGTCACAATAGGACAAACACTCTAAGATTTCAGTTATATGGAGTACGAAGAGTGGACCGATTCAGAGACAGAAGGTAGAATTGCCAGGGGTGAGGGTGGGTGGGTAACTGTTTAATGGGACTGTTTCACTTTGGGAAGATGGAAACCAATCTGGAGATGGAGGGTGATGATGGCTGTACAATACGAATTTAACCAATGCCAATGAGCTAAAACTGGTTAAGGCAGGACATTTTATGTCATGCATATATGACTGCAATTTTTAATTTAAATTTTTTGAATAAAAACAAAATAGTGAAGCTCTCTCTGGTGTTATCCATTCTTGAATGTTCAAAGTTGTTTAAAACCCATGCCCAATTAACTTTGATTTTTAGAAGTCATTTTAATTTTAACCAATTATAAAGGTAACACATTCCCATTGTAAGAAATGTGAAAAATACATAGACATGTTTTTAAAGGATAATTTTTAGAAAAAAGCAAAAATCATGAATCTCACACAAATTTTTAAAGGAACAGGTACTAAAGATTTTATTTAACCAGTAATTAAAGAGGAAATCAATATGGTTAAAACCAGTTCAAAGGAGATGACAAAGCACACATACACGAGAGTACTCAAAAAGGTTGTGGGAATTCAATCAAAAGAGGAGTTCATTGGCTTAAACAGTGTGACATCCATACACACTACCATACAAACAGGGATGCCCGAATGCATGTATAGATCAATGCTGAACTGGTCAATATCAATATCGACTGCCCCATAGTCTCCTGCATTCCACCCCAAAACACTCATTTCCATTTCCAGGGACAACAATATTTGCAACGCCACAGGCCTTCGCCATTCGGACAGTTGTAAACTAGCCCAGAGATAATGACAAGCCACAGACCTCCCACAGCGAGATACACCTGCTAGGTGCGCTCGGGACGCCCAGGAAACTCCTCCCTGCCGTCCTGCCCAAGTCTTTCGCGAAGTCGAAAAAGGGAGCAAAATCTCTTTTAACCTCTCAACCCAGAAGTACGCGTCTCTGATTCCTTTGAGTCAACCTCAATCCGCAACGCGGCGCCTTTATTAAGCAAACAAAGCAAGGGTTAGTAAAATCCTCAGCAGGTGCAACAATTCGGGACGCGACGCTGGACTCCGCGGGCCTTCGGCGCACACCTGCCGGGCACATCTCCCGCGTCCGGGAGCAGCAAAGCCAGGCAGCGCAAAGCTAGGCAGGCAAGGGCGCAACAAAAACTTTCAGAAGCGAGCTCCGCCGGGAAGCCAAGAAGCTGCGGACCCACCTGGGGGCGGGCGTGGCGGTCCGGGGCGGCGCCGCCTCTCTCCTCCTCCGCCCTCGGCGGGTAGGGTCCTAGACGAGGACCCAGGGGCGGGGCAACCTTTGCTCGGTCCTGGGGCCGACCCGGAGCCCGAGCTCGCCGTGCGCCTGGTGGCCTCGCCGTTTCCTGCGCGACCTCGCGCCCCTCCCACCCTGGCCGATCGCACCTGGGCCCGCGGTTTCGGTCAGACCCGCCCGCGAGCTGGTTTCGATTAGGGCCAGCGGGAGGGCGGAGCGGCTGGGACGCCGGGAGAGGAGCAGGTGCGGCGTGGAGACGGTCCCGCTCCCCTAGAGCCGGAGCCGCCTGGAGCCAGCAGCGCGTCGGAGCCCCGAGCGCGTCGGCGGCGAACCCAGGCGCCCAGGATGCGGACGCCGGTGGTGATGACGCTGGGCATGGTGCTGGCGCCCTGCGCGCTGCTGCTCAACCTGACCAGCACGCTGGCACCCGGCTGGCGGCTGGTGAAGGGCTTCCTGGACCAGCCGGTGGACGTGGTGCAGTTCCAGGGCCTGTGGGACTTGTGCCGCGAGCAGAGCAGCCGCGAGCGCGAGTGCGGCCAGCCCGACGAGTGGGGCTACTTCGCCGCCCAGCCGGTGCTCGTGGCCCGGGGTCTCATGGTCACGTCGCTGGCCACCACGGCCCTGGGGCTGCTGCTGGCCACGCTGGGCGTGCGGTGCTGGCGGGACGAGCCCCACTTCGCGCTGGCCGGCCTCTCGGGCATCGTATTCTTCGCCGCCGGCCTCTTCAGCCTCATCCCGGTCTCCTGGTACAACCACTTCTTGGCGGACCGCACCGTCCTGCCCGCCCCGGCCAGCCCGGTCACGGTGCAGGTCAGCTACAGCCTGGTGCTGGGATACCTGGGCAGCTGCCTGCTGCTGCTGGGGGGCTTCTCGCTGGCGCTCAGCTTGGCGCCCTGGTGCGAGGAACGCTGCCAGGGCTGCCGCAAGGCGCCTCCCGCCGGCCCGCGCCGCAGTAGCATCAGCACCGTCTACGTGGACTGGCCAGAGCCCGCACTCACGCCCGCCATCAAGTACTACAGCGAAGGCCAGCACCGGCCGCCGCCGGCCGCTCAGCAGCAGCACGGCGCGGCGGCCAAGCCCAGGGTCGGCTTCCCCATGCCGAAGCCGCGGCTGCAGACCTGCTACACCAACCCGGTGGACGTGCTGGACGGCGAGAGCCACAAGGCAGCCGACTCCCAGGGCGCCTCGTCGCGCAGCACCCGGCCCTGCCACAGCTCGCTGCCCTGTGACTCCGACCTGTAGTCGCCGGCTCTGCCCGGGCCCTGGTCTCCACTGGCCCCTGAGGGTCGCCGAGGCCTCGCAGGCGCCGGCCAGCCCTGAACTTGCGAGCTACGGTGCCCGCCGGCGGCAGGAACCCCGAGACCTTCCCGTAAATGGGGGCAGGGGCGAGGGGTTCCCTTCCTGTGGCCCAACTGGACTCTGGAGGCCCAGTGCAGCTCGGGTTGGGTGGTTTTGTTTCTGTAGTTTGGAGTTTTCTTCTCCAGAGGGGTCCGATCTTTTTATGGAGTGACAGGGCTTTATTTTAATTTATTTTATTTTATTTTGCGGAAGGAGCTATGGAATGGGTGACATTGCATCGTGTTGACCAGGCACGATACCAACACGAAGTTGAAACTAGCGGGTGGAGGCTCAAAAACGAGATAACGTCTTGAAACAACAATATTCTCAGCACCGATGAATCTTGCGTCATATCATGAATTGCAGTTTTTTTCCTGCTGAGTAATTTTCAGGAGTCAGCCTATTTCTCGCTGTGTTTGAAGGAAGCTCTCAAAATAAACGTGGAAGCATGCAAATACTGGCATGATTAATGGCCTTTACAGAGCGAAATAACCTGTTAAACAGAAAGCTCCGTTCCTTAGGGCGTAAAATAGGACGTATCTTTTGTATCACTTCTTTTTGATGTGAACCTTGAGGTGACTCAAGAGTTTGGGCTCCAGGAGCCGGAGGGGTGCCTTGGTCATAGACAACAGCCACTGTGATTTACTCAAAGCAGAACCTATTCATTACGTTCGCTTAAAGGACATCTGGGTGTATCTTTTATTTATAAATAAATTTTCAAGCAGCCTTTTCAAAATACCCACAAAAAGCGTCTTTGTCTCCGGCGTTTAAGCTCACATTACTAACAGTGTCGGGGTTGCTCAGGCCCTGTGTCTGAAATCTAACACGCAGATCTTTGCACCTCTTAGAGTTAAAAGAAGAGGAAGAGGCCCCACCCCCACCCCCTGAAAGCTGGGAGTCCTTGTTTTTAGCTTCGGGCTGCTTTCTACGAAGCCAAGTCTATTGTTGAGAAAACCAGCAGTCTCAGTTTTCCACTCGAGATAGAGTCGCAGCCTTTCCCCCTTCCAGCAGTGGTACTTGAAATCCCGGGGAGGCAGCCGTGTGTCGCCGGAGGAGAGCTGGCTTTAACTCCGAATGGTTGGTTGGGTTCGGAGTGCCTTGCACTGAACTGCATCGCTTCTCTGGAACCCGTGAGCCCAGAGGTGGGAGCATTCAGTTCGGTTCGCACTGTTATTGGGGAACCATGGTGGAGGAACCTGTGGCCCCTGCTGTGTGTGGGTGGTGGAGCTGATCTTGGAGACTCCCTCTCCTTGGCCTTCTGTACTGAGATCAGCGGCTTCTGTGTTTTGGAAGCCAAACTGTGCTGCGCAGGTAGATCACTACTTTGGGATCTTTCTCAAATGCAGATTCTGATCCAGTCTGACTGAAGGAGGCTCTGGAACTGCTTTCCTGCCTAGCTCCCAGGAGGGGCCAGTGCTGATGTTCATGAACCAGGCTGCAGCTGGGACCGTGCCTCCTTACACTTCCATCCTGGCTGGCGGCCTGTAACCAGACGCATGCGGAGACTTGCTGTAGGGGACAGAGCCAGCCGGAGGGCAAGCACACTGCTCTTCCTGGCATATGCCTTCAGAAGCAACAGTTAGAAGCCAGAGATGCCACGACCTAGCAGACCATAAAAAAGGCACTGGGTTTCTTGCAAGTACTCACTCTTGGCAGTTTCATAATTCCAGATCATTCCAGGGAAGCCTTGGTGAGAGCAGAACTGGTGTGTTGTATGTTAGACTTTCCCTCCCCATGTTCTCTCCTGCTGTATACACAAAGCACTTCCTCTTCCGTGACTGAGATTCAGCAGCTGAGAGCTAAACTGTTTTTGCACCATCAACAAACTCCCTTTAAAGAATATCAACTTCCGGGCTGGTGCTGTGGCATAGCAGGTAAAGCCACTGCCTGCAGTGCCAGCATCCCATAAGGGCACTGGTTGGAGTCCCGGCTGCTGCACTTCCAGTCAAGCTCTCTGTTATGGCCTTGGAAAGCAGCAGAAGATGGTCTAAGTGCTTGGGCCCCTGCACCTGCGTGGGAGACCCGGAAGAAGCTCCTGGCTCCTGGCTTCGGATTGGCCCAGCTCTGGCCATTGCAGCTATGTGGGGAGTGAACCGGTGGATGGAAGACTCTCTCTATCCCTTTGCACCTCTCTCTCTCTCTCTCTCTCTCTCTCTCTCTCTGCCTCTGCCTCTCTGTAACTCTGCCTTTCAAATAAATAAATATATCTTTTAAAAAAATCAGCTTCGTGGCCAACTTTGTGGCCCAGGGGTTAAGCTGTCAACTGCCACACCGGCAACCCATTTGAGCTTCGGTTTGAGTCCCGGCTGCTCTGCTTCTGACCCAGCTCCCTGCTGATGCACCTGGAAAAGAGCAGAAGATGGCCCCCGCGCTCATGTGGAAGACCCAGATGGAGCTCCAGGCCCCTGGACTCAGCGTGGACCAGCCCTGGCCTTTGTGGCCACTTGGAGAGTGAAGCAGGGAGGGAAGATCTGTCTGTCTCCCTGTGTCTGTGCAAGAGGATGAAGGAGGCCGGGTCTCAGGGGTTGCTGCTGTGTGAGATTGCACCCCACACTCAAGACTGACCAGCCACGCAGCCGCACCATGGTGAGCCCACCAGCTTGCAGCCAAACTGCTGCTTGCCTCAAGCCCTCCGTACCCATCATGTGCCATCACTGCCCATCCCTATCTTCCCACGAGCGTCGAAAGTGTGTGTCCCCATTCAATGACTGAAGTCTTTGTAAGGTGACTCAAGCTCTGCCCAGAGCACCAAGGCATCAGGGACAGAAGAGTAGAAACTGCTTTCCTGACACTCCTGCTCCACCTGTTGTACAGTCTGGCCCTCAACCAGATGCACACCCTCCCTCCCTCCCTCTCTCACTAGGGAGGGTGCCGGTTTTAGCACACCAACTGCTTGTCCACCCCAAGGCTGTGGGAGGAGCTGTCAGAATACCAAAGCAACTGCCCCCCCCTTCACTGGACAGTTGATTCTGCCTGTACATTGGGGACACCTGACATTTTGCCAGGACATTTGTGGGCACTGTGGAAAACAAAACCACCTAGGGCCCTGCTACTCTCACGTGAGAATGCCCAAGATTAAGGGGTGGAGGAAAGGAGTGGCATTTTAAGAAAAGCGGTGAGAAAAGAGCTGATCCGTGGGCAGAGCAGTGAATGTAGGGAGGGGAGCATTGCAGGGCAGGTGGCGGGAACAGCAAACTCCAAGTTCCCACTAAAGAAAGATTAGTGAAAGCAGGTGCATGATCCAAACACATTTTGCTTCCACTTCATCCCAGAAGAGGGTGGTGAGGTCAGGAAGAAGCTGGTGATGTCATTGAGTAAAGTGTGTCATCTACCCTTTATCAGGCTAACAGCTTTTTATAGAAGGGCCCACAGTCTGGAGCAAAGTCAATCTGTTTTATAGCATGTTTCCAGAATCAGCTATAAACAACTGGATGTGTGACTAACTGGTGGGAATCCTTGTGTTCTGCCATTGTAGCGCCAGCCCCACAATACAGCAAGGTAGAAAAGAAATCAGAACCTCTGAGCCTTGTCTCCTCCCAAACCCACCCCTGGGGGGTTAATGGAGAATTACTGGAGGAGATTGTTTCACTGTGTGTAGGGGAGGGAGAGAGGAGAGTGGGTGCAGGTTAGGGGGAGGGAGTCTCAAACTCTCACCCGAAATGCAGGTCTGTCATTCAGGATCTTCCTGATGTTATACAGGTGGCGCTCAAATTGATTTCGTGATTTGGTCAAGGCCAAGTTTTCATTTTCATTTCTTTTTTTCATAGAAGCACATCCTAACACATTCCCCTCCCCAGTAACTCACGGGTGCCACACTAGCTGTCTCCAAAATGTTCATGGAACATGCAAAAACATATGCATGGATTTCAAATTTTTTCCTCTAAAATAAATGTAGCTTTCAGCTCCGTTTCCCATGAACATGAGTGACACTTGTATTTCAGCATGTCAGTTACATGTGACTTCCCACTTACCTTGCTTTCTCATTTACCTCCACGTTGAAGGTGAAGGCAGGAATGGTTTCTGTTTGTCTTGCAGTCCTGGAATGGGAACTAATCCTTCTTCAGTGCCTGTTAACAACTGAATAAGTGACTTGTAAAAGTGTTTTCTGTGCCTAAGTGCTCCTTTACCTTGTGCGACCTAGCCTGAGGCTCTGACACCCAAATGAGGTGTTTCTGCAAATGAGATATTTCTCCTTGAATGGAGAGGGAAGAAAATAAAGGGTTTAATTATGCCTTCAAATAAAACTTCGTTTGAGACTCACTCAGTCTTCCCAACAAACTGCACCCACACTCCCCTATCACTCTGCACGCCACAAGACTTCTGCCAGGGAGTCTCCATTAAGCAAGTCTGAGCATGCGCAAGTAAGGGTTACTCTGCACAGGTCAAAGCATACATAGACAAAGTTTAGCTAGGGACAGTGCCGACTAGAAGACTGGGTGCTTCACCACAACATATGGAGAGAATGGCTGAAGACCTGACTCAAGCAGGATTCTAGCTCGTGTCCAGCTGGCCTGTCTAGGTTACACAGACTCTGACAAGGAGGTGAACCAGCAGCTCCAGCTGGCGAGTGTGACCAGTAGGTGGAGAGTCCAGGAGGGTAGGTGCGTGCATTTCACAGGTCCTGAGCACCTTTGCCTTTTGCGTGGCCAATGCTCCTGCCACCTGCCTCTGCCATTACCATGGAGGCCATGCACGTCAGTGGATTCCACAGAGCTGCCAAGTTTGCTAGAACTGTGTGATAGATGCCTCCCGATAGTACAAGTCTCGCGCCTGCTGGACTTCTCTTTCCCCATCTGTGAAAGTGGGAAGATGGAATTAGACCTAACAGAGGTCCTCTCCAACTTTACTATAAAGAGGGTAAAAGTTAAGAATCAGAAGAGACTGAGAGGAAACAGATGGAATTTGAATGGTGGCGGCTGGGAAGCTGGTTGACCTGTGGTTCTAGTTATTGGTTGGAGAGGATCAAGTTCCCCATTCAAGCTCTCCCTTTCTCTGCATTCCATAGCCGCCCAGACGTTCAAATGGTCAGAACCATCAGCTTCCTGATGGTGAGCTCCCATCACCACGAAGCCCCTCTCATTTGTTTCCTATAGGGACTGAATATAAAGTGTTTCATTTAACTCATAATTGCTAGCAATACACACTTCAGGTCAAGTTTTGCGTGGGGCCCCTTGAGCCTGATTCATGAACCAAGTAACTGTCCCTTTTTTTAAAAAATGATTTATTTTTTTATTTGAAAGTCAGAGTTACACAGAGAGAGAAGGAGAGGAAGAAGCAGTGGGAGAGGGAGAAAGAGAGAGAGAGAAAGAGTCTTCTATCCACTGGTTCACTCCCCAATTGGCCGCAACAGCTGGAGCTGTGCCGATCTAAAGCCAGGAACCAGGAGCTTCTTCCGGGTCTCCCATGCGGGTTCAGGGGCCCAAGGACTTGGGCCATCTTCTACTGCTTTTCCAGGCCGTAGCAGAGAGCTGGATTGGAAGAGGAGCAGCCAGGACTAGAACCGGCACCCATATGGGATGCCGGTGCTTCAGGCCAGAGCGTTAACACACTGTGCCACAGCACCAGCCCCCCAAGTAACTTTTCTAAAGTTTCCTATCCTCCAGAAGAAAACCCAAACCTATATTATACAAGTTAAATTCCTAGAAGAAAATTCAGATTTAAATCTGCCTTAGGCTTCCTGTTACATGTATCAGATTAAGAAATTAAGACTAGTCCCCAACCGGGACTAGAACTCAGGGTGCCAGCACCACAGGTGAAGGATTAACCTAGTGAGCCACGGCACCAGCCTCCCAAGGCTCTTGACATGAGCTGCCTAGGCTAAGGAAGCCTTTTGGTTCCACAAACTCCTTCAGGAAATGGCAGGTATTTCTGGGGCCCAAGCTGGAAATGGGGTCTTCAGAGTAGAAGGGTGGGACTGAGAGGAACATTCCCCATGGGGCCCGTGGATGTCCACTGAGCTAGCCTGGACAGGAGCCCTGGAAATCTGGTGGAAGGCTGAAGGTCTAAAGAGACCAAGACAGCCTGTCCAGAGAAGGTGGAATATGGTTGGACATCACTTACACATGGGTTCAAGCTTGATTCTTGGACACGTTTGTACATTTTGTGTGCAAAGGCAGACTTGCGAGGGCAAAGTTGGGAGAGAGTAGCAGGAGAAACCTAACCCTTTCTGTGCAGGAGAGGAGGGTGCTGAGACCCTGGGGCAGCTTCTCATGCCTGCTCTGTCTCCCAGTTAGAGTCCTCACCCTGCCTCCTCAGGACACATGCTCCCCTCACACTGGTTCTTCAGCTCAAGGTGATCTTGATTTGGGAATGTTTTAACTGAAGGAGAAGCACAGCTTGCTTTTTTTTTTTTAATGTATTACCCAAGTAGTAAGCCTACCACATCTCATTATGCTTGGCAGCCTATGTGAATGCAGTCCACAAGACACAGATATGAATAGTCTAGAAAATATCTGAGCCAAAATAAAATATTCTTCCAAATGAAGTTGAACGTACCGTCGTTTGGACTCATGTTACTGGATTCATGAACCATGCTAGGCAGTGCACAGTCATTTTCATGTTTTCATTCCCTGCTCCATTGGCCTGATGAGGTGGTTCCAGTTTCAGACAAAGAGATTCAGAATGATTTTCCCAAGGTTGCAAAACCATACTCTTGCTCCCATCACAGGTTCCATGGACTGGATTCCTTCTATGGGTGTGACTAAAGCAGTAACCTGGGAAGCAAAGAGGACTTCGTAGCAGCCTAAGCATCTGTACACTCCTCCTTAGGCAAGAGCTAGTGAAACTGAATCCTGGTCCACACCTATACTCCATGTCGCCAACTACATTAGCCACCTACTTTATTTTAAACAAGCCTTAGACAAATCATTTTCAGAGTTTCTGTATCTATGAAGTGTGTTCACCTGACCTCTTAACTTGACAAGCAAATCAGAGCATAAGGGAAGCATTACTTATGAATTTTAAGCAAAAGTGGACACTAACTTTGCAGGGAAGTTTATCTGGGCTAGGGAGTGGCAAGGAACTAACACACGAACAGTCACTGTGCTGCAGAAACTTGACCTTTATCCTAAAAGGTAAAGAGATCATTCTCCTTTGTATAATGGACAGGCAAGTTCCAAGGGATTAGCTAGCTCAAAATTGGTGTCAGAGGCAAGATTCCAATCTAGAACTTCTGATTAGCACTGGGTCAGGTACACAGAGATTTGAAAGCTGTGACTCCACCATAACTAACCTAAGTTGCATGGAGACCGAACTGAAATATCCCCAGAGATCCCACTAAGAAACCAAAGGACCTCCTACAATTTAAATGTCAGTCATTTCAATAAGCAATTACCGGCCGGCGCCGCGGCTCACTAGGCTAATTCTCCGCCTAGCGGCGCCGGCACACCGGGTTCTAGTCCCGGTCGGGGCGCCGGATTCTGTCCCGGTTGCCCCTCTTCCAGGCCAGCCCTCTGCTGTGGCCAGGGAGTGCAGTGGAGGATGGCCCAGGTGCTTGGGTCCTGCACCCCATGGGAGACCAGGAAAAGCACCTGGCTCCTGGCTCCTGCCATCGGATCAGCGCGGTGCGCCGGCCGCAGCGCGCCAGCCGCGGCAGCCATTGGAGGGTGAACCAACGGCAAAAGGAAGACCTTTCTCTCTGTCTCTCTCTCTCTCACTGTCCACTCTGCCTGTCAAAAAAAAAAAAAAAAGCAATTACCATTTGCACCACACTACAATGAAGTTAAAACAGCACACAATGAAAGATACAAGCAATTTTGATCCGAATGTTTCAGCTCCTTTTTAATAAGGTCAGTCCACTTGTAAAGAGGTTAATAAACCATGTGGGAAAAGAGAATTGAAGTTAGAGAACACAGAGTGAGACGGCTGAGCCACTCAGAAGTTAGCTGACTTCACAGAGGGAGATAAGTCTTAAGAGAAACTCCACACAGCTCCTACAGCAGCAGCCCACCATAGGGCTGAGCTCCTTGTGGAAGTCCAGCAAAAACTCACGCCTTGATGACTCATGCACATTTCACATCATTCAGTCCTTAATTATTAAAATCTAAAGCTGAAAGTAAAAATCAAAGCTAAAGACAGAAGAGTTCCCAAAAGAGTTTGATACACATAGTAGCAACTTCACCAACAGCAAGAAGCCCTTTAAGTTACCATTGACTACTGTCGCCTTGCTAGGATTTTTCCCAAGGGACATTCTTCCACTATGTCCCACAACCATTTTCCTCGGAGACAGATGTCCCAGACTGCCTCAGCATCTCTGTTCATCCCAGGACTCACCGACAGCCTCTCACTGCTCACCACGTGCTCTTCCTCTTGGTGACTTTCTTTAATGCAGGTGGGATTTCTTGGTGATACCATACTGTTCTAGAACACAAAGAGGCAAAGTCAAGAGAGATGTTCCTGGAGGTAGAAGCTGAGATTGGGGGACTATTAGAAAGGGCTGATTTGTTCCCTAAGTCTATCACTGTAGGAATTATGCCCTGCTTAAAAACTGAGAGGCACACACACACACACACACACACACGCACAGATCCCATCCACTGGTCAATCCCCACATGCCCACAACAGCTGGCAGCTCTTACTACCAGGAGCTAGAACTCAGTTCGGGAACCCAACAACTTGAGACTTTGCTGTTGTCTCTCAGGATCTATATTAGCAGGAAGCTGAATCAGGAGCCTGAACCAGGAATCAGACCCAGATAGTCTAGTATGGGACATGTGCATGCTAACAGGTAGCTTAACTGCTAGACCCAAATGCCTGTCCCTGTACCTTATTTTAATTGTCTAGATCATTAGCAAAGCAAATGATCTAGAACAGACAGCACTCCAGTCAACTGCAATTTGTTACGAGGCTTTCAGTTAATTCCCAAAATGGGATTTCTTCTCATTTGAGGGAAACCAGGCAATTGGAGTCAATGAGAACAGAATCCAATTACAAATAAGAGATAGCTGGATGCAAGTGAGTTGAGAAAGACTGTGAATGTTGTAGAAGCCCAAGAGAATTCGATAATCTTGATGTCGACCAGTTAGCTATTAACCAATGTTACCGTGGGCAAAAATTGACCATAACTCCTGGTCTTTTCTTTTGTCTGAAAAGTGACAGCTGGAAAGAGATGTAACTTAACTCTTTAACATCTGTAAAATATTTCTTCATGGACAGGCTGTTTAATGACCATTCTCAATATGTATTCCACAAAAAAAGGGGGGGGTTGTGAAATCAGTTTGGGAAAGTGGTTTGGAGCAGATGAAATGGATTGCTTTCCTGCCAGACCAAGAGTGTTGAACATGCTCACATGCTGCGTAATTACCAAAGTGGCCCCGGGCTACACACTTCTTTGAGCACTGCTCAGAAACTGGTGTCATTTAGCAACCTTGAGAAATGTGTCAGATTCTCATGCAAGGGTACATCAAAATATTCATGGGAAATGGAATTAGCAGATAAGTTTATTTTGGGGCCAAGAAATTTTGAAATCCATGCATACATGGCGGTCTTCAAAAAGCTCATGGGAAAGTAATATTATGTAAAAGCTGTGCCTGGGTTTTTATTCTATGTTTTAAGTATTCCCAGAACGTGGACAAGTTAGGGAGAAGGTCTGTGGGGCTTGGACACTGCCAGTGCAAGCACAAGGATGCCCAAGATTTTATCCTAAAACCGTGCCAAGAAGGGTCAGCTGCACCGGATCACTAATGAGCTGATGGAGGAAGGCTCACCTGGTATCCCCCGGTTCACTGCCAAGACGAACATTTTCTTTATTTATAGGTGGTTCTTTCAACACAGAGAAGGGCCCCCCTTGTCCTGCTGTCACACAAGAGCAGCCTCATCTGCAGCCAACATCAGAGCCCATAGGCCACTGGAAGCCCCATTGCTCCAGGACTTCTTCCAAGAATGCGTCTCACTTTTCAGGAGACTCAGACTTTGCAACCCTAAGGAAGAGTCAAGTTCTTACAAGCTGTTACCAAAATAGTGACCCATGCTGAGGGGAAGTGAGGGTACAATTTGGGTCTTGTTTTTGTGGTTTGTGTGTGTGTGTGTGTGTGTGTGTGTTTGACAGGCAGAGTTAGACAGTGAGAGAGAGAGAGACAGAGAGAAAGGTCTTTGTTCTGTTGGTTCACCCCCAAAATGGCCACCATGGCCGTCGCGCTGCGCCGATCCAAAGCCAGGAGCCAGGTGCTTCTCCTGGTCTCCCATGCAGGTGCAGGGCTCAAGCGCTTGGGCCATCTTCCACTGCACTCCCGGGCCACAGCTGAGAGCTGGACTGGAAGAGGAGCAACCGGGACAGAATCCGGCACCCTAACCGGGACTAGAACCTGGGGTGCCGGCGCCACAGGTGGAGGATTAGCCTAGTGAGCTGCGGCGCCCGCCAATTTGAGATTTGATGACCCAATAAGCACATTGTTTTCTATCAAGTTGTTCAGGTTTTTGTTATACATTTAAAGATAATCCAGTTATAGGTTTTAAGCTCCAGAAAAGCAAGGGGCTTAGGTATGTAAGAAAACATGTGACTTGACTGTCTTCCGTGCATATTAAAAACACCCTACCATCCGTATGTAGTGGCCAGGTCCTGAGGACAGCAACAGATCCAGGAAATCCGGCTCCAGCCAGGCACTTGACCTTGTACCTCTCATCAAGTTGTACCTGTGTTTCATGTGCAAGCGAAGTTTGGTTCCATAACTTCCACTTGTATAGGTAGAAGCAAATTCTAAACATGACAAAAAGCTATTAATCACATTATTTTGGACGTGTTTGATCTTTAAATCCCAAATCCAGTTTCAGACATGGGAACTGAGTTGGAAGTAAGTGGCCTGCCCGAGCTTTAACTGTGACAGTTAGAGTTGGAGGGGGGGTGCAGTGCTGTCATGGAGTAGGTTAACACAGTGCCTGCAGTGCCCGCATCCCTTGTGGACCAGGTTGCAGTCCTGGCTGCTCCACTTCCGGTCCAGCTAGCTGCTAATGCGCTTAGGAAAGCCGTGGAAGATGGCCCAAGTGCTTGGGCCCCTGCACCCGCGTGGAAGACCGGGATGAAGCTCCTGGCTCCTGGCTTCCCATCGGCCCAGCTATGGCTGTTGCGCACTCGGGTGTGAAGGAGCTCCCTTTCCACCTGCGGAAGATATAGGGAGTGAAAAACACCGAGTCCATTCGCGGAGCCCACTTGCAGGCTGGGAAAGCGCTAAGAAGAGGGGCTGGGGCACCGACTCCTCCCGCATCCAGGGCGTCCCCTACAGGACAGCCAGCCTCATCCTCCTACATCTTCCGGAACGCGCGGGGGGCAGAATGCACGTGGGCTGGCCACCAGAGACCCCAAGTTCTCTGCCTACTGGTAGCCCGCGCCCCCTGCGCCTTGCAGAGCCAGGTGCTGCTCCGCCCGCCCGCCCTCCCGCCCGGGAGTCCCCGACGCTGCCCGCGCACACGGCCCGGGAGGGGACAAGGCACCGGGGACCCCGCACTCGGTGCCGGCTCCCAGGATGGAGCTGCGCTCGCCGGAGCAAAGCTTGGGCTGCGTGGAGCGGAGCCGAGGGGCCCTCTTTGTTCCCTGCGGGGGTGCGGAGATGGGGTAGGGAGTAGGGATCATTAGCGGGCTCCCGGCGAAGACCTGCAGGGCAAGGGCTCGGGCTGCTCTGGACAGCTCCTCAGCTCCTTAGCGGGAAGGAGTGGCCGGACCCCGAGGCCCCTGCCGCGACGGGAGCGTGGACACTCAGCGGAGGTTCAGCCATCCCGAGACCTGGCCCTTGTCACACTCAGGGACGAGGAAGGGTGATCAGCGACCCTGGATGTACTCCCTGCGTATCTTAGCAGACAGATTCTACTTTCCCAGGTGTGGGCAGGAGCGAAGGTTCTGTGTCCATCAGAGACCTAAGGCTTCCAAGGCCTTCTTTACGGATCCTCCGACCACTTTGGGAAGCAAGGGCTTAGTGACTCCACAGCCAGGGCAGCACCGTGACTGCGGGGCTCCCGGCTTCCAGGGGCACTCAGGCATAATGAGGGCGTCCCTGACCCCGAGTGTGGGGGAGCAGCTCTGGAGACATTAGTCCTCTGGTTGGTAAGCCACAGACCCGCAATGCAAAGAGAACCCCGCAAAAGGCCTGAAGAAGGTCATTGTCATTGCAGCAGTCTGTAGGAGGCGCTTCAGCGAGCCACAGCAAGGGCACTGTGACCTTGAACTTGCTGGAACAACTCAACCAGAGCTAGCAGAATCCCTGCAGGGTCACCACCTGATAGCACCGGAAGAGCTTAGAGGACACCAGTCCAAAGCCACTGTTTAGGGGAGAGAGAGAGAGAGAGAGAGAGAGAGAGAATGAGTTAGACGGCAGCAGTTTCTTGCTTCTGGTAGAATGGCAAGAGATGACTGACAAATCTCTTGGGAACGATGGAGATGGGAAACCACTATTTTGCAAACATCATTAGTACTGATTGTGTCAAACAAGACGCAGTAAATCTGGGAGAAAATTTGGCATATACGTGCATGTTAACAAGATAAACCACTACAGACTGCTTATCCATTGCAAGGAAGAAAAATAGAAGCATCATGCTAGAGAAATCAGATGAGCAACGTTAGTATCCCCAGGGGAGGACAGAGATCCCGGGTGCCTCCAGTGGGGTACCCCGAGGAAAACACTCCTTGATGAGCTTGAGCTGAGAAGGCGTGCGCTGAATCACACAGAACCAAACAGCATCCAACTGTAAAGATGGTAGGGGAGCCGTACTCTCAAAAAATGTGTATGTGCTAGCAAACTAAGAAAAGCTGTGTGGGGCCGGCGCTGTGGCGAAGTGGGTTAACGCCCTGGCCTGAAGCGCTGGCATCCCATAGGGGCACCAGTTCTAGTCCCAGCTGCTCCTCTTCTGATCCAGCTCTCTGCTGTGGCCTGGGATAGTGGTAGAAGATGGCCCAGGTCCTTGGGCCCCTACACCCACGTGGGAGACCCAGAAGATGCTCCTGGCTCCTGGCTTTGGATCAGCTCAGCTCTGGCCATTGTGGCCAACTAGGGAGTGAACCAGCGGATGGAAGATATCTCTCTCTGTCTCTACCTCTCTCTGTAACTCTTTCAAATAAATAAAATAAATTGGAAAGAAAGAAAGAGAGAAAGAAAGAAAGAAAGAGAGAAAGGAAAGAAAGAGAGAAAGAAAGAAAGAGAGAAAGAAAGAAAGAAAGAGAGAGAGAGAAAGAAAGAGAGAGAGAGAGAAAGGCTGCGTATGGTTCCTGATTATAGAAGGCTGAAAACATACAACTAAGGCAGGAGAGCTTGGGAGCATGAGAAGACATCAGTAGGCCAAGGACAAAACATTAATATGGATCACAGATTAAAGTCCTCTGCCAGTATAGACTTAGGAAACTGATGACCGCACTGTGACTATGTAAGAGAATAAGAGATGTCACTCTTTCTAGGAAGTTCACACTGAAGTGTTGAGGGATCGGACAATTACACACACAGAATTTATCTTCAGATGGTACAGATGTGTGTGTGTGTCAGAGAGAGGGAGAGAGGGTGGGATGGGTACTAGCTTATACCTAAACAGGAGTAAAGTTTTGGGGTTCTATTGCACAGCAGGATAAAGATAGACAATTTTTTTTTGACAGGCAGAGTGGACAATGAGAGAGAGAGAGAGACAGAGAGAAAGGTCTTCCTTTTCTGTTGGTTCCCCTCTCCCAGTGGCTGCTGCGGCCGGCGTGCTGCAGCTGGCGCACCGTGCTGATCTGAAGCCAGGAGTCAGGTGCTTCCTCCTGGTCTCCCATGGAGTGCAGGGCTCAAGCACTTGGGCCATCCTCCACTGCATCCCGGGCCACAGCAGAGAGCTGGACTGGAAGAGGAGTGACCAGGACAGAATCTGGTGCCCCGACCAGGACTAGAACCTGGGATGCTGGTGCTGCAGGCGGAGGATTAGCCTAGTGAGCTGCGGCGCCGGCCGACAATATTAGTTTACTGTGTATTTCTCTAAAAAAGAGCTAGAAGATAAGTTTTTATTTTATGATTTCACAACAAAGAAATGTTAAATGCTTGAAAGGATAGATTTACCCAGATTGAACATTATATATTATATATATCTAGCAAAAAATTTATAAACTCCCTAAATGAGGAGGCATCAAAAGTTCGTGGGAAATGCATATTGTTTTTAAAAACTGCTCTACACAAATTTTTTGTACCAAAATAAACTTATCTTCAAACTTTCTTTTCCATAAACTTTTTGAACCCTCATATAAATTCTTAATTTAATTATCAAATATAGAGGATATGAATGGGAGACTATATGAGAACCCAAACACAGTCTGTCTCCCAAGGTGGGGAGAGAGTGGGAGTGATGGTGTTTAAGCTTCGGGGAGGGGGCTGGCACTGTGGCTGGTAGGTTAGGCATCCGCCTGCAGCCCTGGCATCCCAAATGGGCGCCGGTTTGAGTCCCAGCTGCTCCACTGCTGATCTAGCTCCTTACTAATGGCCTGGGAAAGCAGTGGAGGATGACACAAATGCTTGGGCCCCTGTATCCACATAGGAGGCCTGGAAGAAGCTCCTGGCTCCTAGCTTTGGATTGGCCCATGTTGTGGCCATTTGGGGCATGAACCAGCAGACGGAATATCTCTCACTCTGTCTCTACCTCTCTGTTTGTAACTCTTCTAACTCTGCCTTTTGAATAAAATAAATTAATAAAAAAAAGCTTCAGGGAATCCAAGTGACCCTGAATTTACACACATTCATAGAGACTTTGATCTTTAAATACAAAATAAAATATATGTGATTTATAGTAAAATTTGTATTGCTTGAGAGGAAGAAGGGAAGAGAGAATTAGTTAAAACTAATGTCCTGATTAATCTGGAAGAAATCAGAAAAGGCCAACAATAGATAGTAAAATATACAGTAAACATACAGTAAAATATACAGTAAGGAGGAAGATATGAAATCAAGCCCATCAGCTACTGTGAGAAATGTGAATGGGGGACCAGCGATGTCATTGTCAGCTAAACACCTCAGACGGCGCTTGCAGAAAACTGAACTAGACAGGTCAGTGACACCGTGTGGCCTCTTGGCTGCAACCAAGGAATAGAACACACGGATGCATGAGGCTGCTGCCTGCGTAACAGGGAATACTGTTTTACAGTAACTTTAAAAAAAGTAGAGTAAAATAATGCTAAAAAGTATAGTACAGAAAATACATAAGCCAGTAGTATAGCCATTGTGATCATTATCAAATATCAGGTACTGCACGTCATTGTGTGGCTGTATTTTTACTTGCGTGGTGGCGCAGTAGGTTTATTTATGCCAGTGCATAAATAATACACTGCAAATATACAAGTAATGCGTTGCACAAGGACGTTGCGATGGCAATAGGAATTTTGCAGTTCTGTTATAATCCTATGGGACCACCATTGTATATGCAGCCTGTCTGAAAATCGCTAGGCAGTTCATTACTGTTTGACATTTGCACCGATGGCCTCAGATATATTTTTTTAATTTGACAGATAGAGTCGGAGAGTGAGAGAGAGAGAGAGAGACAGACAGAGAGAAAGGTCTTCCTTCTGTTGGTTCACCCCACAAATGGCCATTATGGCCGGAGCTGCGCCGATCCAAAGCCAGGAGCCAGGTGCTTCCTCCTGGTCTCCCATGCAGGTGCAGGGCCCAAGCACTTGGGCCATCCTCCACTGCCTTCCCAGGCCACAGCAGAGAGCTGGACTGGAAGAGGAGCAACCGGGACTAGAACCTGGCACCCATATGGGGTGCCGGCACCACAGGCAGAGGATTAACCAAGTGAGCCACGGTGCCGGCCCCCTCAGATATTTTTAATCACATGGAAAAATTCACAGGGTGTTTTAATTGATGTGTTGCATCTACTGAAATTATGGCTGCTAGATACTTCAGGCTTTTCTGTGAGCCAAAGAAGCAGACTTTTGCAAAAGGTTTTGATGACTGACTTTTTCATGTCTGATCTTTTGCTGCCACCAAGCGACACAACCTAGTCATGGCATGTTGTCCTTAAGGCACAAAGAACCAAAGATATCCAGCCTCCCTGAATACAGCAAAGATTGCATGCAGGATCTGCGGGTATAGCATCTTCTACAGCAAGGAGAGAGCCACGAGACAATTTATTTGCACCAGGAACATCTCTGAGATGAGCACTGAGTGTGTAGTCCCAGCATCACTCAATCCTCCCAGCCCGGAAACTCAGCCCCTCCCCCTGGTCAGCCTGGCTCCTGACCCCTAAGTTAGTGAGGGTCTGAGATGAGCCCTCCCCCACCCACTACTGGGTGGTTAGATATCATTTCCACATGGAAATAATAATAATGATCGCCACAACTTGTATGCATGGACTTCAAAATTTTTTGCCCAAAAATAAATTAAAAAAAAAAAGATTTGTTTATTTGAAAGGCAGAATTACAGAAAGAGAAAGAGACAGAGAGAGATTCCATCCACTGGTTCATTCCCCAGATGGCCACAACCCCCAAGAGCCAGGAGCTTCTTCTGGGTCTCCCATGTGGGTGGCAGGGGCCTAAGCATGTAGGTATCTTCCACTGCTTTCCCAGGAACATCAGCAGGGAGCTGGATTGGAAGTGGAGCAGCCGGGATGGGAAGCAGTGCCCATGCGGGATGCGGGTGTCGCAGGCAGTGGCTTTATTTTCTGCACCACAGCGCCGGCCACTTAACTTATATCTCACAGAATCCTGGGAATGACAATGTTTATGTCCTGCCTCCAATGCACCAGGCATCTCACCATGCATTTGGATTTAGTTACTCTTAGTTACAAAGATACAAACGAGGTTCAGAGAAATCAAGTAGCTAATACTTGCATTTAGTTACTCTTAGTTACAAAGATACAAACCGAGGTTCAGAGAAATCAAGTAGCTTATCCAACAAAAAAATGCAACTGATAGTGAGAGTCCCCAGGCTTAAATCCAAATGCCGAAGTTCAGAGCCAACAGTGCTTTACAGAATGACATGACTGATTTGCTCAAGTACACAGAAAAATCAATCTCGCAGCTGAGCAACTTGGACTGTTTTCCCTAAAGAGGGATAAAACACAGTTCTTTCTTGTGATGCTTTTCCACATCGTATTTCCCTGGTGGCATCGTTGTCCAACACCCACTCTCCCCACGCCCTCCCCCCACATCTAGAGCAACTGACTACATGAAACTCGAATTCTTGGGAAGAACAGTTCAGAGGACCACATGAGCTCTTCCAGTGCAGGAAACCTCTGCTGTCAGCGTTCATGCGTCCACACCAGCATGCTCTTCGGGGCTCCACCAGCCACATAACCCCAGCCACGACACAGTGTGGTGGTCGCATCAACAGCAGATGGGGAGCACAGAAGTGTGCGGGAGCACGTGACCACCAACAGCATTCAGCAGAAGTCAATTTCCGTTTCTTCTTTGTCAGACCCTTTTTGCACAAAAACTACAAAGAACACACCCTAGGGGGATGACCCAAACCTTTCTCTCTCTCTCTCTTTTTTTTTTTTTTTTGCATTTATTTCAAAGTTTATTTTTTTTTAAATTGCTTTCTATTTAATTCAGATTGTATAACTTTAGAAGCGACAGTGAAGAGTCTGGCTGAGGTCCCCACATCCCATGTTGGGGTGCCTGGGTTTGAGTCCCGGCCCACCCAGATTCTAGCTTCCCGCTAACGCAGACTCTAGGAGGCAACAGAGACGGCTCCTGTGATTAGATCCTTGCCACCCCTGCGGGAGACCTGGGTTAAATTCCCAGCTCCTGGCTTTGGCCTGGCCCAGCCCCAGCCATTCTGGGTATTTGGGAATTGAACCAACAGATGGGAGCTCTCTGCCCATTTGTCTCCCAAATAAATAACTAAAATTTTTGTTTTCAATATTTATTTTTATTTATTTGAAAGGCAGAGTTACAGAAAGAGAGAGAGAGAGAGATCTTTTTTCCACTGGATTATTCCCCAAATGGCCGCAACAGTTAGGACTATGCCAGACCAAAACCAGGAGCTCGGAACTTCTTCTGGGTCTCCCACGTGAGTGGCATGGGCCCAAGCACTTGGGCCATCATCTGCTGCTTACCCAAGCGCATTAGCAGGGAGCTGGATTGGAGATGGAGCAATCCAGTCTCAAACTGGCACCCATATGGGATGCTGGCCTCATAACTAAACATTTTAAAAATTGCATAACTATGCATTAAGAAGTATGTAATATTCAATTGTGAAGAGCAGTCAATTTATTTTACCACTCTGTACCTCATTTTCCTTCTCTGTAAAAGGAGAAAATAAGCCTCTGAAAGCCATTAGCACTCTCTTACCTTATGATCTTAAGAGGTCCTGACCCAGGAGTGGTGGTACCATTTCGGACTCATCTCAATAGCACAAGAAGTCTGCCTTCCTTTGCCAGTGCTTGACATGGAGTCATCGACAGAGATTTCCAAACAAATTTGTCTTTCTCTTGACTTGAGACTTTCAATTTCATCAGCTATAAATCAATACTGTTGACAGTTTACACTGACCAGTGTTTGAGGAGTTGTCAGGAAAATATTCACTTTATTGATTTTTTTCCCCTTATACATCATGACTTGAAATGTAAGTAGCTCAGATTATAAATATTAGTGATCAGTCACTCTGTCTTCCCTGTTCCATGGCCATGGAATCAATGGCTTGACATCTGGTGCTTACAGGAGCCGGAAGTAACAAGATTATGAAAGACAACGGAGAAAGGCTTAGATTGGTATCTACATCCAGAAACCATCAAAACAGTCGCATGATTAGCGAGACCTCTCCAACAGGTGGAGTGAGACACCAGATCAACACAGCAAGGAGCCAGCGAAAGTGTACACACCGGACTGCACCTGCCTCTCCCCTGCCCAGTTCCCTACACCCGAAACCAGACCAGAAGCGGGGATCGCACCCTTCCCTGGGGACAAAAACAGAGAAACCCAGCCCCTCCTTGCCATATTGCGCTAAAGCCCCCCAAACGTGAACCTCACAAGATACACGACGTGCAGTCAACTCATGAATGGCCAGGCAAGACTTGATGGACATCTGAGGGGAGGATCTAAAATAGGAGCAAAGTAAAAGACATTACAACCAACAAGCAGAAACCAGAAAGTCAGAATAAACAGGGAGTGGAAGACGATTCCATAGAAGCCATGACAGTGAGTATGCTCTGACAAACACATGGCATCTATGAAATAAGAACAGGGTAAGATTTTCAGAGTAAAGGACACAAAAAACTTGGCCATTAAACAGTGATAGTCATTTTTTTAAAAGTCAATAAAAGTACTAAAAATAAGGTTGGAAGGAATTCCTGAGATAACTTTTTCTTTAAAATTTTTTTCATTAACAATAACTATATATTTATGGGGAACAGGGTGACTTTTCAATATATGTATGCAGTGTGTATTGATCAAATTGGTACAACCAACATTTCTGCTTTTTTGACATTACTTTATGATTGGCGCCTTGGGTCTCCTTCATTTTTTATTTTCTCATAAAATACATCATAGGCTACTGTGAATGATAATCACCCATTATCCAGCCTCTCTCTGTCCCCTCTACACTCCCTAGCTTGTAGTAATCGTTATTCTGGGTTCAGATAGAGTTTTTTGGCTTCCATATGTGAGAGAACAGGAGCATTTGTCTTTTTGTGTCTGGCTTATTTTATTCCACATAATATCATCTGCTTCCATGCATTTTGTTGCAAATGACAGAATTCCATTTTCTGGCTCAACAGTATCCCACTGTGAAGTCCCCTAGCCAGCATACATCCAGAAGACAAGAAATCATTTCACCACAGCAATTCCTGCACTACTATATCTATTGTAGCACTGTTCACAAGAGCCCACATATGGAATCAACCTCTGATAGTTTCCAAAAGTGACAATAGACAGGGGAACGTAAGTTAATCAGAAGATCATCACAGGAAGTACAACAGAAAACCAGGCAGACTTCTGCCAGGAAAGAAGAGGCAAAAGGCGAGAAGAAAAATGTCAAAGACAGGTAGAAATTCCCCACAACTAAGCACATAGTTCTCTGTATTCTGAGAAAAGTGAGTCTGGCACATCCCTGCAAACCTGCCGTGCCAATCTCACAGGTCCTGGCAAGATGAAATAACACACAACTTATCCAAATGGTACTAATTACTCCTTAAAATTCTATTTTACTAACTCCCTCTGAAATCATAAGCTCCCCTGTGGTAGGGTCTAATTGTGATTAATCTTTGGGCCTTAAATTTCCCAGGTCAGAGTGGATAGCAACCAATACTTTTTGAATGAATAAGTAAGATTTATAGAAAGACTTTCTAACTGTTGAAACATGTGCCACTCTATAATCATAAGAATTTGGAAATTAATCCATATAATACTACACAAGAGAAGATTGTTTTAAGATTTATTTATTTATTTGAAAGGCAGAGCTGCAAGAGAAAAGGAGAGAGAGAGAGAGAGAGAGAGAGAGAGAGAGAGAGAGTCTTTCATCCACTGGTTCTCTCCCTCAAATGACTGCCCAGCCAGGGTTGGTACAGGCTGAAGCCAGGAGCCAGGAACTCCATTGTGGTCTCCCACATGGATGGCAAGGGCCCAAGAACCAGGGCCACCTTCTGCTGCCTTCTCAGGCACATTAGCAGGGAGCTGAGTTGGAAGTAGAGTAGCCAGGACTCGAACCAACCCTCAGATACGGAATGCCAGCCTCACAAGTGGTGGCTTAACCTGGTGTTGCGATGCCAGCACCCTCCCAATTTAATTAGCAAAAAAGAGAAGTTAGCTGAAAGGCGGTGGCTTCCGAAGCCGGCAGGTGAGATACCGCGGGGCATTTGTGCGGGCCGCTGACTCCCCCGTGGTACTAATGGGCCTGGTGCTCCCTTCTGTCTAAGCAGGGCTGCTCTGGAGCTGAGGAGGCAGCTGGGTCCTGGCAGCGCCCCTGCCCTTTTAGACTCCGCTCAGTGTCACCCAGTCAGAATGACATACACGGCTAAGCCATGTGCCCCATTTGAAGAGGCTTCTGGGCCTGATCTTCAGCCCAACTCACCACCCACGTGGCTACATCCTCTGCTCAGCGGAGAGCAGAGGCTGTGACCTGTGACCGGTGGCCTGGGACACTGCCTCTGTCTGCTGTCCATGGTCCCCCCATGTCCAGTGCTTCCCTGAATGGCTCTCTTGAGACTTTACTGCCAATCCACAGAGTCCAGGATGACCAATTCTGAAAAATATGGGGGAAGAGATGAGAAGAAAATGCAGTAAAATGTTCATGAACAAAGGATTCAGTAGTTGAAGAAACACCACAGTCCTCAAAATGCATGAGCAAAAAGGAATGTAAAGATGAATCAAAATCCTGACAAACTAAAGCCAAACTTTAAAATGCATTTCAGTTTTCCACAGGGGCCTTCAAGGAATTCATTTTTAATTTATCCTTTCTTTTGGTTGTACCAAAAT